TGTGCTGCAGGAGCTGGCACCTTCTCATACTTTTAGATGATTCTTGATCTGGATTCGTGGGGTTTGCAATTAATTGCTATGAATAACACACATCTCAACTTTGCTCCCCAGTCTGCAGCAGAGTGCAAGTTACTGAACCTCCCTGCACACAGGGAAATGGAAATTGAGCCCAGTAACTGTAATTTGCTGCATATCTGTATTTTAAGATGCTTGGTTGGAAGTTGATAATATAAGAGCAAATCCCACTTCATTTAGCCCAGGCTGTGCAGTAAGCTGTAGGCAGCTGGGAGCTGTTTGAAGAGCGTGTGGGAGAGAAAAGCAGTAGCTCTGTGGGAAAAGATGGAGTGGCTTGTCAGTGGGCAGCCATTAACATTGTGGCTGCTGAAACCCATCTGTATCTATCGAGTACTAGGCTAAGTCCGTGTTGTTAAGTACAGCAAATTCTGAGTTTGTGATATTTCAGGGCTCTTGGGTGGAGATGTTCTGCACTGCTTGTGCACAGGTTGTCTTAAGAAATGCCCTCCACTACCAGTACCCAGGACTGTGCCTCTGAACTTGACAGGAAAGAAGGTTCCTGACATTCTCACTTTGAATCTCCTTACTTACCTTACAGCAGTGCTCTTAAGAATCCTTAAGTTTTCCTTAACCAGTGAAATTGAAGAACAGGCTTAAAAAGCAGAGGCACAGGATGCTTTTTCCATTCACTTGTCAGGATGGGCTTAGTGTTCTGCCTGTGCACTCTGAAATAGGTCAGCATGAACGGCTGAGGAGGTGGAGGGAGTGCTTGTGGGGGACTCCAGAAAGGATGTGTGGTGGTATGGTTAGTGAGTACTAATGTGTCTATAATTAGCCACTGACATGTGCTTTTGTCGCTGTGCTAGTACTGCTTTGTTAGAACAGTGGCACTAAATAAGCTATGAATATTAAGTGTCAGTAGTTGTACAAAACTAAAGGCTGCTCTGTTGTTAGTAATTAGCAGCTCTGTTTTCATTATGGCTGGGACTGTGCTGATGTGATGAGGGAGGGATGTGTGGGATGGATGGCATGAAAGACAGCATTGTAGGACCAGAACTGTCATCAGCCAAGTGGAGCTGGTTATTTCACACGAGGGGAAGAAGGGGATGATCCTAGCTGGTTTTGTACAGTGTGAAGTGCTGTTCATTTGCAAAGCTCCACAGGACCGGTGTTACTGATTCTAGTTGGTTTGTGGTGAATTAGATTGCTGCTGCTGGCAGGCTTTCTGAATTCTTCATTAAAGCCTCTCCATTGCCCGCAATGACAGTTTCCTCTCAAAAAACTTGGAGCTGGGGGAGGAAGAAGGTTTTTCCCTAATGACATGTCTCCATCCAGCAAATACTGAATTCTAGCTTCTTGACTGAAGCTAGAATTAACATGTTTGTTTCCATGGAAATCTCTTAGGCTTGGAAGTTGCCTTAAGGTTTGTAAGGTGAATGAATGCACTGGTCTTTTTCTAAGGCAACGCTTAGGCAGAATATTTGTGTGCCTCCCATTGCTAGGGCAGTTGTCTCTCTAGTGCACTTTGTGGCCAGGATACAGTGTTTTACCTCCTCTCCCCTGCCAAACTAATGTTGCTCTCCTCTCTGCCCACAGTGTCTGCCATTACAGCCGCCTCTTTTGGGAGTGGGGGGAAGGTGTCAAAGTGCACGACTCTCAGAAAAGGCAAGATCCAGAGAAGCTATCCAAGGAGGATGTCTTGTCTTTCATCCAAGCGCACTTCCCCTAACTCTGCTCCCTTGAGGGGTGCAGGGGGGGCTGAGCCCAGCTTTGATTCTTCAGGGACTGATGAGAGTGGGGACATTCCACAACTTCTATTCTGGTCTTCTCCAGAGCTGATTTCCTGGAGGTGATCAAACCAGCAGGTTGTATGCAGAAGGCACAGAACAAGGCTCTACCCTGGCAGTGTATATGAGTATGGCCCAGGTAGAGCCTGCTGCTGGAATACCCATGGTGACTCCTGGAACCATGGCCAAACGCCCTTTTGTCCTGACCTACTGCATGCATGAGGCCAAGGGGCTGGTGGTTTTGTTTGCTCCTGTTCAAACATTGTGAGGTTTGTGGCGTGCCCTGTATGTGCCAGAACTCTCCAGCCTCATGCTTCCCTGGCAGCGTGAGAAGGAGATGTCTTGGTGGCAGAGCTGCACAACAGCACACTGAAGGGGCCCTGCATCTTTCCTGGCAGCTGTCTCTTTGGCCCATCAAAGGCGTACACTACCCAGTGGAGCATGTTCACTCATTGGTGAATGCTGGGTTTGGGATGCAAGTATGTATTCTTGCTGGTGTCTCCAACATTTCTGCTTATCAAGGCACTTGGCTGCCTACTGGCAATTCCTATGTGATGGTATCCTGTTGGACAAAGGCCAGTGCAGGCGATGAGTTCCTGGCACAGATTTAATGTGCTCCTTGCCAAGGCTTTTTCAGACCTCTAGAAGCTGCTGTGATGAGGATTTCGCCTCTCCAGATCAGTGACTGATCCTGAGCCAGCAGCCTGGGGTTAATTTGTGAACATGTCTATGCCTCATACTTCCAAGACCAAGGTGCTTTAGTTCTTGGTACTTTACACTATTACCCACATCTTCAGGGAAGAAAGTGGATGCAGGAGGAAGACAAAGGAAGGTTGCGATACTGGAGGTCTTTAGAGGGAATGATGGCAATGTCTGACTTAGTTACAAAAAACCCCAGGACTTCCATGAAAAGAGATCTCAACTACAACCATGTTGGTCAATCAGAAGAAATCCTGTCCCCTGACTGTGCCCACATAAGGGTTACCTGACTTTCCTTTTTAAATGTCAAAGCAGGCTTTGAAACTCTTCATGTCTCATTCAGCCCTGGAATGGCATCTGGGGTGAAGGCACAGAGCTGTGAAACTGTCAGCATGGTATTTGTGTGTCAGCAGTGTTCCATGTGCACTTCGGAGCTGGGTTCAACGTTGTCTTCTGCTGCATGTTTTACCTTCACTTCTGGCTTCCATGGCACTGTTGCCAAGTCTTCCACATAAACTGGAGATAACAGTTGCTTGCTTTTGGCCAAGCAGCAAAATTGCCCTCCCTAGCCCCTTTTGGTTGCTTTTTTTGTTCTTGGCTTGTTTTTAAACACAGATTGACAGTAGGGAGGAAACAGATTTAGGGGTTGAACTGTGCCTTAAAGAAAGCTATAGTTCTAGAATCTATAGCACTTTAGATTCTTGTTTCTTTCTCTCCACACCCATATGTATGATTTGAACAAACTTTATGTATCAAGTCGTGGAAGTTTTCACTTGTAGGTCCATGGGTGCCCTGCACCCCACCCAGAGAAGCCAGCACAAGGATGGTATGTTGAAGTCCTACCTCCACTCTCTAATGCTCAGCATCATGTGTTAAGAGGTTTTGTGCTCATTCTCAGCATGCAGTTCCTATTTCCTTTCTTGTTATCCTACAAGTAGGCTGTGCTATCTGAGCTTGGAGCACTTCCATGTCTTCCCAAGCAAATTGTCTTCATATAACCATGTATTAATTCTCTGCCGTTTAGTATAAATCAAATTAACAGCTGCACCACCACAGAAAATGATCTGCAGGTTTGACCACTGCTGTACTGTGCACCTGGCTGAAGGAGCAGCACAGAAGCTGGCATAGCCTGTAAGTCAATGGAAGCTGGAGGAGGCAAAGCCTGGGAGGTAAGCTTACAAGTAGGTAGCCCTGAATACTGTGTAGCAAAGCTGTTCTGTTTCTTCTCAAGCCCTGGCCAAAGTGAAATGGCTCAGAGCTCTTCTTTTCATACTGGTGACTACTAGTGCCCAGGCACAGGTCTACCAAAGCAGCTAAGGGACTGCATGTTAATGCAGCTCCTGAGTGTTGGTGAAACATGTATGAAAGAAATGGTGGGCCTTACCCCCAAAGAACAAGAAGGCTGTCACAGGCAAGTCCTTTTTTGGCTAAGGCAAGGCAATTCCATGAGGGATGCAGAAGAATCTGTCCCAGAGGAGTAAAGAACCTCCAGGTGTGGTTTCTAGGCCTGTGTGCAGTTGGCTTTTTAAACCAACTAGTAATTTGAATTTGGACACTTCCAACTGCCTTGAGTCTGTTCCAATACCAGAAAAGCATGCTGTTCCTTTTGCCAGGCTCCTTTCCCTGGTGTTGTGTTCTCCACTCGGGGCTTTGGTCTCCTGTGGGCTGGCAGCCGGGAGGGTGACGAGGAAGCACACCAGGGTGAGCGTAGGCCTCTGAGAGTACATTAAACCCCCATTAGCCTGCAGGCCAGCTCTTATGAACAAATACTTCCTGTGTATGGAGCTGCCTCCAGAGCCTCATTCGAATTTGCTTTTTAGTTTTATTTTTGAAGCACTGAACCGTGATTGTGAATCCCTTCAAGAAGGGAAGCATGAGCCACTATGCTACTTGCTTCCCTGCTGCAGGGTAGATATTGAGGGGTTATGTTGGGAAGGGGAGGTGAGGAAGGTCTTGCTGAAGAGAATGTTGATGTACATTAACTGAACAATGTATTGTCATTAGGCTGTGTATCATTTTGTGTTGACTCCTGCTTTCGTCATCTCTGTTACCAATACAGCCCTTTTAGTTCGTAACAGTGCTTGTCCACTTTGCTTCCCACAGAATTCTGTCTGGCAGCGTGTTAGTGTGGAGACAGAAATACCTTGCACCATTGAATTTTCAAGGCAGTCCCTTTTAATGGCTTTCCTGACATGTCAGAGCGCACTGAGGGCTACCTAATGTATCTTGCTTCACCAGAGAGTGACTACAGGTGTCAGTTCCCAGCACTCCTGTGCAGCATATGAGGCTGCTTTTCCACTCAGTGCAAACACCTGAGTAGATTCCATGCCACAACAGACCAATAACACACTTCTGAAATCTTGCTGACCAGGTATGTTAAATGCCTAATCCCTTCTAGGTTTACTACAGGGCAGTGTATGTCAGCAGGGAGAATGTAGGATGAGAAGAAAACAGTGGCTGAGAAATGTTACAAAACAGGAAAAAAAGGAAACCAGGAAGTTACAAGTTTAAATTATTTTATTTAAAGCCCTTGCAGAGGCACTTCCATCCCTGGGCCTTGATAGTTCAATTTCTTCTTCAAGTGTTGATTCTCAAAGGCACAGAACGGCTACCAAGCCTTGATGCATTGGAGAGGTAGGTAGATCTCAAAGCCCAAGTACTCGCATCTCAAGCTGGATGTTGCCTGCTTACAGCGAGATACCTACCTCCCATATGGTTTTCTGGAGGTAGAATTCCTCTGGTCCTTCAAGACAGTGTGGAGGAGGTACCATGCTTATTTAGATCAGCTCTGGGAACACCTGGAATCTTTTGGTCACAATACCAAAGTTACCCTTTGAGAGTTCAGTGTCCCTTCAGCTCATGGCTGAGTCACAGGAACAAAGGTGGCATGTATTCTGGCAGGGCTGGGCAGAGAGCACTTGTCTGAAGCCATGGAGATCCTCTTGAAAATAGAGAATGTACTGCCTTCCTGCATCAGGCTGGATGGTCTATACTGCATTTGCAGTAAGACAGCACCACCTTCAGCTCTGCTTGACCACGTTTCTAGCCACAAGTGTGCTTGATTTCTCGTTTTGTCTCCTGTGCCCCACAATTCTCAGAGAAAGATTCCCTGCAGTGAGGCTTGGAGAGGATGAGCAATAACAGCAATCTGAAATGCTGATCCTTACCCTTGGCAGAGGCACAGTGGTGAGAGGAGAAAGAGCTCCTTGCATGAGAGTCATCTGGTCAGCAGGGAGAATTCTCAAGTGCAATCACACTGTCCAGCAGGCATAAATAAGAGCAATCAGCAGTCCCACAGCCACAGCAAGGGCAGCATTCTTGCGGTTCTCCTTATGAAGTGCACTCAGTTCTTTCTCTGGGAAACAAACAAAAGCCTTGCCTGTGTGTGTTCTCTGTGTTGCATCTGCATCTCCTTTCAAAAATGTCTTAACAGCAACAATGCTACCTTGGCCATGGGCAACTCTTTTGGGATCAGTATGCAAAGCTGTCAATTAAAAGATGTGCTGAACAGGAAGTGAACTAGCAGGAACCCTTTCATTTTCTCTTACCCTGTCAACCTCAGTAGCTGTACTTGGGAATACTTCAGTGCCAGACCAGTTCCTGTTTGCAAATGATCTTATTCTAGGAGCCTACTTAGGACAGAATGGGTCATCAGAATAATTGCTTGATCTCTTAAAAGAATGTGGAAGACAAATAGAGAGCTGTTTCTACTATCTTTTAGATGTAGCAGTCTGGTAAATACACTAGCCACCACTGAATGTTGCTGAATCTGGGTTTCCTGTTGTCCCACAAGTGTTGAACAGGTCTGCGCCTGGACCCTTAACTCTCTTGTGGCCTGTAGCTTTCCCTGGCCCTGGTTTACAAAAGGAAAAACACAGCTGCAAAGATGAAGGAAGTGGCTACCAAAAGTAGGGGTTCCATCCATCTCCGCTTCTGTTCCATTTGCTTTCTCAAAAATCAGAGTCCGATTCTTGCTAGCTCTGTTCCACAAGACTTTGCTTGGTGGTACAGGCAAGAAGTGAGGTCCATAGCATTACACACTGCATGGCCAAACAGATACACCTATTGTGCGAGGCAAGGTTGGATGCAGACTCCAGACTGCTTTTGCTGCTGCAGTAGCTACATGGGTTACTGTCTCTATACTTTCCGCTAGCAGCCTCCAGTGGGAATACCCTGGTGCTGCAGGTTTCCACACTGATGCTAGCATCAAAAGAAGCTTTTAGCTGTCCTTTCTGCCCCTGTTCTCACAGGACAAGCCTTCTCATGCAACCACAGAGCAAACTGCTTGAATCTGTAAGGTCAGAGAGGGGGTGGAAAGGGTAAGCAGTCACATAACCCCAGGCAGCTTAAACAGAAGGAGCAACGCTATTGTCAGCAATTGCTGTTTGTGGCCTAATGTGTGTCAGCTGGAATAAGCAGAGATTTAATCAAAGGCCATAGCAGTGATCTAAACAGTGTGCACATGCACTGTCTCTTCTGTTCCAAGAGGGGTAGCCATCACCATTAGGTGAGGCTGTTGCTGCCTGAGCAGCCTGCCACATTGCTCTGTTCATGTGCCAGTGGTGATGGCTGACTGCTCGTAAAAGGGTGGCAGGGTCTTATGCCATTTCTAGTGGTAGGTCCTTGGGGAGCAGCTTTGAATCTCTTTAAAATAACTTAGTCATAGAATAGTTAGGGTTGGAAAGGACCATAAAATCATCAAGTTCCAACACCCCTGCCATGGGCAGGGACACATCACACTAAACCATGTCACCCAAAGCTCTGTCCAACTTGGCCTTGAACACTGCCAGGGATGGATCTTCTCGAAACAGTCATTTAACAGGAGTTAAAATTACAAATTCGCTGACCATGCCCCAGTTTTCAACTTTCCAGACCTAAAAGGATACTTGTGCTTCCTTCCTCTGTGTGAGCTATGGTGCTTGCACTGCTGCAGAGTATTGTCAAGCAGTCAGCAGCCTGAAGACATTCAAAGCAGCATCCCTAGTGGGATGGAAATGCTGTCAAACCTGAGGTAGCTCTGAGGGACTCTCATTTCAACTCTAAAGCAGCACTTGCAGCAAGCAGAGACCCTGGCTCCCTGGAACTGGAGGCAGCACCTCAGTGTGAATCCCTATGCTTGTGTGCTGAATGGCCCCAGAAACTGATGCAGTGAGAACTTTCCCCAAGGAGGGCAGACTTTGCAGAGAGCACTTGCCAGCTTGCTTAGCAGCCCTCAATTAAAAATCAGGGGAATAGAGGGGGGATGTTAAAAGCCACTCAAGTCAGTCTAAAGACTGCTAACTTGGGGTAAGTGAAAGGGACATCTTTCTCCCCCTCATTAGCTGACGCAGGGGTTTTCATCTCTGATAGCACAGCTCAAACAGGAGTATCTAGACTCCTATTATAATATGCTGACTAAATTTCCCTCAGTCTAACTCTCTTTGGTTGAACCTAATTCAAAGGCAGAAGTCAGAGGTGGCAGGAGCTGGAAGATGAAGCTAAGCTGCAGCACTGATCCCATCCAGCCCAGAGGGACCATTTTTAATGAAGCTCTTACCATAGTTGTCAGCTTTGGTCATTAGTAAGTTTCTCTCTCTCTCCAGTGACTTTCTGTAATGAGAAGATAAGTTCATTACCTGCAAGGCAAACACAGACCATTTCTTTGCTTATATGATGGAAGAGAGACTCTTCCACTGCCAGGGATATTTGCTCACAGAATGACCCCCTCACCCTTCACTGTGGAGGGGTGAGAGTTTAGAACCCCCACAGCTGTGCAAGAGATACAAGTTTTAGATTATTTTCTCCTTCCCACAAACTGCTTCGTATCTCTCATTTCAGGAAGGTGTCAGTGTATGCAAGCAGGCTAGAAAGGGGGCTCTGTGTGTGTCATACAGGCCCCTATTCTGCTCCCCCACGTGCGGTGAAAGTTCTGCCACAGCTATGGGATGGGGCAGGGTCCCTGCATACTGTCGGCGGGCTCCTGCCCTTCCAACACATCTGGAACATCAGTTCTCACCAATTTAAGCTGGTGTCCCTTTGTCAGAGGTATCCTATTTACACCAATTGGTCAACTCAAAGCAACAAGCTGAATCCAAGCCCAGTGACAACCAGTTAAACAACCCGTTACTAAACAGAACACTCCAGATAATAACAGTAAAGACTAAGTCAGGGCAACAGAGCCCTTGTCTTAAACTGCACAAGATGATTAATTAATATACAGTTTAAATACAAGAACAAACTGCCTGAAAGCAGCAGCATTTCCAATACAGCGGTGAGGACACAGTCAGTTAGACTCTGTGCATGTAAATAAACATGCTCTAACAAATTATCTCCTGCTTCAGAGCAGACAGAGAAAGCAGTAAGTGTAACTGAGTTTGTTGTTCCCCCTGGGGCACAGCAAGAACGTGTAAGAGGAAAGAGACCCAAATCTATATGTACAGCTAGTTAAGTAAGGGATGGCAAGGAAGCAAGCTACGCTGGAGCAGCAGGAGAGGAAAGGGCTCTTCAAGGCAACTGGAGAAAGACAGCATGGAGTGCAGCCAGGAAGAAGTGAGAAGGAAGATTTACCAACATTACTGAGCTGCTACTTAACAAGTTGCCTTGTGAAGAGAGTCAAAGGAAGAGGCTTTGGAAATGAGACGTGAAGAAACCATGACAACTGAACTTCGAAATGGGAAAGCAGAGCTCTCCTTTGTGTGCTACTCAATCAATTTTATCGTGGTACCTTTCTCCAGGGTTTTTTTTAATGGTCTGCATTAGGGCAACAGAATTTCTGATTCCATCTCCATACAAGGTACAAAACTCACAAAGGGCCTCAGGGATCCCTATTCCTAATTTTTTGCTCTAGGCCCTGTATTTCAGAGAGAAATCATACAGGTATCTTCCGTCCTGTCATGTTACTACAACTGTAGGTTTGGTTGTTGGCCACCTAAGAACCAGATAAAGAATGCACACTGTAAACATAAGAATTTAGGCCTAAGAAAAACTATTGAGATGAGGAGCTAGAAACAAGAGACAGGACACTGCACAAATATGGATGGGGATATAAAACCCCAGTAAAGGGTGGTGAGGTGAGAAAGAGAGTAGAAAGGAGGAACAAAGAAATTAAGCTGAGACTGTTAAGTATTGGGGTGTGGAGATCTCACCACTGCTGGGATCATTTCTAGTTGGGTTCTATAGGACAGTACTGTAAAGCAGACACCAGGACCCACAGGACAGCTGCCTGGGCCTACGATTGTGCTTCCCAGCCTTTTTTTTTTTTTTGCTAGGAGCAAAGCAGCAGGATGGTGGTGACTGGAAGAATGTCCTCAAGCAGAGAGATCTGAGGTTCAGCTGGGAGATTTAGGATCTCTTGCTTCATGGTTTAGAGAAACAGTTCTGCCTCTGTCTGCTACAAATATAGGTCAAGTTCCTGCTTGAGTCCCAGCTCTAGAAGCCTACAGTTGTTTTTTCTATGTCAGTGAGATTTCAGAGGAATTGTCCCTCTTCCCTTTCCCAAGGAAAGATGGTGTGTGTCAATGTATCCATACATCCCAACACATTTGCAATACAGGCCCAGATACAGCAATTTCCCTCAGTCTGGTTTGGCCCTCAGTTGCTGCACATCTCCCCAGCTAAATGTAGGCAGCTTTGGCAAGGCTTGAGTAGCAGCATGCAGTGAACCTTAGTCAGACTCTCAGAGCTGTTTCATAGCAGGCCAGGAGCCAGCTCTGCAAATGAACTGGCAAGTTTTGGGTGCTGCTTAGCTGGTTGTGGTGCAGGTTGGAGTCAGGCTGTTGGTAAGATAAAGCTCTCTCCATAACTCACTAAACTTCTCACCATCGCAAGTTCCCCAGGTAAGCTCCAGGTTGAGGCAAGAGGGTCTTGTCATGGAGAACCACATACTCCCACCCCTTCAAGAGCCCATGTTCAGTACTACAGCAGGTAAAGTGCACAGCCACTGCTGTGAAAGGAGACAGTCACCAATACCTTCCTTCAGGGCTGAGCTTCTCCCTGCACAGTTTAAGATCCACCTCTTCCACACTCTGTCTGCAGCGTGCCAGCTTCTCCTCCAGCTTATCGATCTGTAAAACACCACAACGGTCCCATCATCTCCCAGCTAACACAGATCCATGCCCACTCAGATGCGAAGGGTGGCAGCTCTGCCACTCACTCCACCTTCTTCCTCCCCAAATCAAGGGAGGAACTGCCTCAGCCATGTGTAAGGATCACAGCACACAAAGCCCACTGCCTCTCAGATCAGCCTTTATTATACCCCAGGCTACTGTGACGTTGTAATCCCATCCAGCAAAGCCTCCTCTAACACTCTCACTTGTGTGGCCAGTAGCTGGCCAGCACCTTTTGTTTCTGAGGTCTAATCCTGTTCCAACCTGTTCTGGTTTCTTTGCATCTGGATGCACAAAGATGGGATGTAAAGCATCTTTATGGAATTAAAAGAGGATAAAACGAGAGGAACTGGCCTTGGCCAAAGCCTGAGGCACAAGGTTTTTATTTAGTGCTGTGAATGGATACAGAAATTCACAGGACATGAGTACAAAACAACCTCAGCTGTCTGTCTGGGTGAAGAGGGGACAAAGATGAAACACTGACATCTACACCAACTAATTGTACAACACCAACAGCAGTCTGCACAGCATGCTCAAGCATTCCCCACCAGCACATTTGACCTGCACCAACTTTGGCAGCAACATGTTCGTTCCCATGCAGAAAAACACCGGTCATCTCCTTGCGTCTCCTAGTCAGGTTTCTCAACAGCCACCCTGCCCCTGTGTGGAGGGAAGTAACTGTGGATAATGAGAAGACTGATCCACTTGTGTGCAAATGGATTGCCCAGGAGGGAATCCTACCATGGACAACAGTTCTCCAGGGAATCATTCCTCTCTTCTGCCTGGCAATCAGAGAGTAGACATCTTTAGGAAAACTTTAGTCTTTCAGGCTTGCTTCCAGCAGAGGAACAGTGGAATTGGTCAGATAATATGAACACAACATCCCAGCCTGAAAGAAAACAGCCTCAGTGCCCTGAGGTGGCATGACCTCTCTTTCTAGCTACTTGGCACAACACTCCTGCTGTACCTGGTTCTCCAAGCAAGGTCAAGGCCAGCTGGTGGCTCGCAGCATAGGCTCTCTGTGGTGGGGAGCCATCACTCACCAGAAGCTAACAGGCAGCACAGTCCTGGGTAAAGTACTAAGGTGAATGAAACACCAGCTGCCTGGACATCAGCCTCAGAGGTGACCCAGGGCACAAACACTCCCACAAACAGTGATATGGGAAATAAAATCAAAGATAGTGATCCCTAATTATTGCTGCTTTGGGGATGAGATCTGTCTTGAGCTCATTAGTAATCTCACACTTTCTGCTCAGAAAAGGCAGACAAGTGTTATAAATAAGCAGGATGGGAGAAGAGGCTTGATGTAAAGGGGAGAGAATAAAGCACTGTGAAGAACAGTTTATCCAGTCAGCTGAACAGTCTCACTGCAAGGAGCACAGTATTGCTGGGGAGGCTCAAATTCATCTTTGCATCTTACCAGACAGAAATTTCAGAGTCCTTTGTTATCAGGCATCTCTGCCAGGGCTGTTGAAATGCCATCAGCACAGCTTCCCCTGAGCTCAAAGGAAGCACCAAGGCACGTCACCTTAACCCAGAGCACAGAGAATGGTGGTTTGATTTGCTTGGATGGGGACACGGATAGTTTTGAAGCATGTTAGCTGAAAATGCATTCGGTCAAGGCAGATAGTTGTTCTCTACATCCAGATGTGCCAGTTAAGAATGTTAATTCCAGCTGCTCATCACTGTCTCTCATCCACTACAGCTCAGTGAGCAAGATGCATTGTCCCAGTCTGCTTCAGGGCCAACCTAGGCCTTCACCCAAGCCAGCTCTGGTCATGCTTATCAGCAAGTTGATTTAATGGCAGAGTGCAGTGGAGTGGAGGTGGGGTGTCTGTCCACTACAATTTAATAACCATCTCGCTTGCCAGCTCCTACCATGTGCAAATGACCGTGTCTCTGCTCCCTTATCTGCTGGAAACCCTCACATACACAGGAGGAGGTAATTCAGCATGTGTTACCTGGCTGCTCCTTAGCCAGCAAATTTACCACAATGCACCATGCCTTCTCTGCAAACATGTTTAAAAATCATGTTAAATAATACAATTTCATGAGAACTTTGACTGCTGCCAATGCCACCATTAAATTATCTGTGTCACAGCACATCCTACCCTCTCCTCCAGAACCACTGCTACTTCTCAGTCTGCAGTTGCTCTCACTAGTATATTCTCTGCCCATCATTTGTAAGACATAACAAGAGGATATTCCACCTACTTTCTGCTGACTAAAAATCTCCAGATTCCACATAATACTTTAAAACTTTCCACTGATTTTACAGCTCTTAAATAAAACCCAAAGTTTGGGTCCCCTGATGGAGAGCAATAATTTTGTTAATAAACCACATGTCCCAGAACTGCAGCATCAGCTTTGCTGAGCTGTGGGCACAAGGGACAGAATAATATAAATAAAGCATAGCTGAAGGAACAAGTACTTATTTCCTCCAGAATCTATTTTCTTTCTTCAGGCTAGTCTGGGGCATTAGGTAGGGCTTGTAAGGAAGGCCAAGACTGAGGAGCTTCAGATGTTACCCATTCACTGTGCCTCAGTTTCCCTCCTTATAAATTTGGACAATACTATCTGCCTTCTGGAAGTGGCTCATTTACAAAAGGAGCCTCAGACACTGACCAGCAACAGGCAGAGCCCTATCTTGGTATGTCAGTGCCACTGCTTCACTTGGGATTTGGGATGTGTTCCTGCAAGCTAGGAGTCTTTTAGCAGCTCAGCCATGTAAGACACTCTTCACTGTAGGGCAAAGGAAGCAGAAAATAAACACAGGCAGGAATCAGAGTAATGCTTGGGAGTTACTGATTACTCCCTGGGCTGCTGAGCAAACTCCCAGGAGGACCATAGCCTGAAAAGCTGTAGCACAAGAAAATCTGCAGAGCTCTGGCATAATGCCCTGCAGCAGCTCTCCAGGAGAGCAATCCTAGAAGCAGGTGCATACCTGAGCTCATTGTGGATGGAAAGCTTTCCCTCCTACTAATACATCAGAAGGTTAGTTGGGATATGTACCTAAGCCTACTGGAAACCTGCATGAAAACAAAGTGCCAAGCTCACTTAGCTGTACTATCACTGCACTTCACACTGGCTTAACTTTTTAGTGGCAATCTCAGCACAGTGCCTTATAAATTGCAAATCTGAATCCTTGGTCCTTCTAGCTCTCCTCTCCATGAAGAGGATCCTCTGGAACAGAGCTGAAGGGCAGCATGCAGAAAGCTCACGTAACAACCCCTCAGCTTCACATGGCCTGTAGCAGGGACACAGGACTTCACTCTCAGCAACATCTTCAAGCAGTGTCAGTTAAAGGGGCAAATGAAATGGGCGCATCCAAGCAACAGGGCGGGGCATGCAGGACTGCCCTTCTGCTGCTAAAGAGCCATTCCAGAAAGTCAAGTCCCAGTGGCTTTGGATACATACAGGGGTCTAAGACCAGATGCCTTCCTTGCTTCACAAGGTATGACAAGGCCTTGAGCCATTTTTGATGAATTCTGGCAATACCGCTTGCAATCTGGAGACCTTTTTAAACTGGAGAGACCTGAAGTGGATTCCAATCCAAACTGTCCTACATGCTTATTACAAATCTCATTTATTGGGCTCATCTAGGGCAGGGAGCCCAAAATGGCTCACATTAAAGGCAGAGGCAGAGAAGAGAAAAAGCAGCAGCTTTGCTTACAGAGTTGAGCTGGATCCCTTTTAATACATTCTGTAATGAATTAATAAAAGCTTTCTTTCCAGCAGAAAGGCTAAAAGCACTTTTCAAGAACTGGCATCCACCCTCCACTTTTATGAGCTCCCTAATTAAGATCCTGGCAAAGAGCCATATCACACATATGTCGACATCCAACAGCATTAGGTAATGAGGTTTTCATCTTCTGACCCTCATAAAACAGATCAAAGCCAACTAAAGAGGTGGGGGCAAATAAAAAAAAACACCTTCCCTGAGCAGCCTTCTCATGCCTTGTCACCTGCCAGCACACTTGAGCCATTCTTTTCACAGAAGAATTAATGGCTCCTGCATCCACGAATTCAGCTGGATAATTAGAATCAGTCCAGCAGAGTTGAGTTTTGTTTGAATTCAAACGCTAACTTGCAGGTCATGGACACACTTCCATTTTCACTATGCTCTTGGAATCACTTCCTATGCTGGCAAACTGTTTTGCAGAAGCTGTGCCCATAGCTTGCTTGGAAATATTTACCAGGCAAGCTGCTACACACCAGAAAAAGTCTATGATAAATCCTACCTCTGTGTTGGTAAAAGAGAAAGGGCTGGATCCTCCTGTCTGCAGGCACTGCCTAAGCACAGGGAGTTCTCTTTGCAGTTTCTTGCATCACTTTTTTGCTTCCATGATTTTTTTTTTTCAGTTGTTGTCTGAGGCACAACTGTATTTTTAAGGGCTACAACATCCTCTGGCTGTGGAACAGCCACAGGTTGTGGGAGGAAACATCCTCCCCTGTTTGTTCTGAGCTTGTCAGCTGCTTGTTTCATGTGGTAAATCCAAGTTTGTATTGTCAGTGAATGGCCATTCTTTGTTTAAAATTACAAATAGCATGCAGAGGATACGGACCTAGACAGTCTAGCCTTGCAGTCATGTTTTCAAGCTTAAAAGGGCCTGGTATGCTTAGTTGTTTCTTGCATAGAAGTTTTCCACACCTTTGATCATCCTTGCCACTCTCTTAAAACTCATTCCATTTTCACTATTTTGCTACCTAACAGACCAGTCCTCCCAGTTTCACTTTCCTGACAAGTCTTGTCATGAAAGTTCTGTGCAGCTCAGCACTGTCCATAGAGCTGCCTGTTGAAAGGCTACAGAGCTATATAAAAGGAAAAGTGGCAAGAGTTTAAACCATCACAACATTAGGGAGACACATTTATATCAATTTAAAGCAGGACATATCAATTACACCTGCAATTTGTAAGTGCAAGCTAATCTGATAAGTGTGCATATAGAAAATTGCATCCATTTAGCATCATGACTTCAGTTAAACAAGCATGACTCTGCCTAGATTAGGCCTTTCATAGCTACCCATGCATCATGTCATATTAGGACTCATTTGGAAAGTTTTCTTTACAATCATAACAGCTCAGAAAGTAATACTGAACCAAATAAAATGTTTAAATTGTGAAATCAGTATCTTGGTTGTCACATATTCTGATACCTGAAAAACAGCCCTCAGATCCTCTGCCTTAAAGGAATTATGTTTTCTTCCTCACTAACTTCCATTCAGTACCTTTGTCATCGCTGCAAAGGGGAAGGATTTTATCTTTCAGTTGTATCTTTGCATCGAGAGGTTAAGTTTTCACTCAAACACTCCAAAGAACTGTTCTACGTTCCTTTCAAAAATAACATGTTCTATCATGACAACTTTTAAAAAGTAAAAACAAAAAAAAAAATCTAAAGCTACAAGTCTCCAAACACTTCGCAAGAACATTCTGTAGCAGCTAAAATCAGTCCCTTTTCACTCTGTGACCAGCAGGTCCCCGACAGGCTCGCCCTTTTTGCCACCTCTTTTTCTGTAAGGTAGACTCTACCACCTCAACTCTCCTTGTCTGCCACATCTCAAAACACCCAACCAAAAAATCCATTGTTTCGACTCTCCCTGCTAGGCTCACTGAAGACGAGCTTGGACAGTCAGCATACTCCCTTTCTGGACCATCCTTGGTGGTTATATTTGGGTTAGTGCCCAGAAATGTCTGCTTCTCCAACAAAAGCCTAACTAGATGAAAGAGACCAGAAAACTACTATAAACTGAACTCCTACTTACGATACAGAAGGACACTCACCTTTACATTACTGGCTGATGAAACACATATATGACAATCTCCAAGTCCTTTCCTTGTCCTTTCTACCCTGGCTATCTTGGTCTGCTGCACATATACTCAACTTCAGGACAGTGAGAGGTGACCAGAGAGATTCACTGAGAATCCACTGGACCAGTGGATTCAAATGGCCGCTTTCAGCCATTTGTCAGGAAGTTCAGCAGTTTGCTGAACCCAAAGTTGATGTCCCCAAAGTATCCAAAACCCACAGACTCGAACTACGGGCTTTCCATTGCCTCCTCCAAGTCAGTCTGGATAGCACTGTTCACTGCAGCAGCTGGAATAAAGTAAGCTTCAGAGAGACCTTAAATGACATGCCTCAGTTTGTGACTGCAAACTTAAAGTTTAAACAAAGCTTACCAGCAGCCCTCCTGCTATTCAGGAGATTATGAAACACCCAACAATAAAAAGGCAGCTTTAGAACAGAGTCATGCTCTTAAAAAACAGCCTCTTTGCCTTCTCCTGCAGTGAGTTACAGGCAGCTCATGTGCTGGTTTATCACCGGGTTCCTCCAAACCAGCTGCCTGTGCCCAGCAGGGTGCTGACCTCCACCAGTACACACATAGGCCAGGCTGTACACATATTTGCTAGCTAGAGGCAAGAGCTTCCCGCTGCACCCTCCAGGGGCGCACACACTTACTGCCTCTCAGGCTCACTGGGAGCAAGGGTACCAAACACCATCGTTCGGCCAAAGGCCTGAGCAGAGGACGCGGCAGTCAGCTCTCCGCTCAAGGGAGGGCTCGGCTCAACAGAGCCTACCTCGCCTCAGCCTCTTCTACCATCGCACATTAAAATGGCGGCAGGGCCTAGCGCAGGCTAGCTGGAGCGGTGCCCCTGAGCCCCCACTGCCCCAGCCCTCAACGATACCCTCGGCCCTCCACGGAAACATTTCCTTCAGCGGTAACAACAGCCCTACCTCACCCCCGCCCAGCCCTTGCCACGCCGCCCCTCACCTCCTGAGCCACGCTCAGCCCCTCTCGCCGCCTGCCCATGGTACCGGGCCCGTATCGGGGCGCGCATGCGCAGGCTGCCGCTTTGAGCCACCGCCCGAGTGCGGCCACGTCTGCAGGGCTGCCGCCATCTTGGTGGAGCATTGCGCTGTGGGGCGGTCTCCATCTTGGGGAGGGCGCTTCTGCCCGGCCCCCTGCAGCGGGACCGCCCGGTGTCGGCTGTGGGCCTGTGAGCCTGTTTAGTAGTGGTTAGCTAGCCGCGGCAGTCAGGCGTCCCTGCTGCTTTGTGCCGGCGCTGTCCCCAGCCCGCTCTGCCTGCTCCAGCAGGGACGGCTGAGGGATGGCTGGATAACTGGCAAGCCGGAAAGCGGATGTAGGACCTCTCGGAGCTGTCTCATCGTGCTTCTCCACCCCTCAGAGACCCTTGCTCCAGCGGGGTGAGCGTCTCCAGTGTGCTGTATGGCCAGGCACCCCCTCTGGGCTTGTCAGAAGGCAAAGCCGGACTGGGAGAGAAGGTGGTTGCTCTCTTCTGCTAAGTAACAAGTGATAGGGCAAGAGGTAATGGCCTCAAGCTGTGCCAGGGGAGGTTTAGACTGGGTATTATGAAAAATTTCTTCACCACAAGGGTGATCAGGCATTGGAACAGGCAGCCCAGGGAAGTGGTGGAATCACCACAACCCCTGAAGTGTTCAAAAATCGTTAGATGCATTTAGTGGCATGGTTTAGTGGTGGACTTGGCAGCCGTGGGGTAATGGCTGGACTTGATGATTTTAAAGGTTTTCTTGCAACCTAAACGGTTCTATGATTCAATAGTGAGTTATTTTTTCCTCAAAGGGAGCCAGCTTGGTCCTGCTTTGAGCCCCTGTGCTGCTCAGGCCACTCCTGTTCAGCTCTTGTATTGATGGGGTCCAGGGCTTAGCAGGGAGGAAGGCAGTTATCTCAGAGAAACAAGGCAACACCAGGGCCACTGCCTTGCTGAATGTTACAGTGGCTGAGAACTTCAGGTTGTCCTTGAGGCTCCCGTCCCAAACCGTAGCTTCATGTGAAAGCAGCTCCAGGAGAAGGCAGTGGTTTGATCTACAAGGAGACAGCGCTTTGTGCACACCAGCCAGTTTATTGCAAGATGCTAATCACAGTGTTATATATGCATGGCAGCTTTTGTCCTGACCCAGGAAAGCTTTTTATGAAACACTGCTATCTTGTATTAGAAAAAAAAAAAAAAAAAGGCACAAAACACCATGGAAATGCATCTGTCTTCAGGGTAGGACATGACTGCTACACGACAGGAAACAGCAGAGCTATTTGCTGACCAAAAAAATGGAAGGCTGGGCCGCAGCAGCATTTGTTAGAGATGCAGACTGCATTTCAGTTTGGCTAAATACTCTTCTGCTGACTGAAATCTTGCTAGAGTGGCAGTAGTGCAGATGCCTATCACAGAAGGAGTGATAATACTAATGCCTAATTAGTGTGTTTTACCTTTCTTTCAAAAATCCCCTACATTTTTTACTATGGGAAGTGGCGCGTGTTGGTAACAGTATCAGTGTCATTTTCTCTCTGCAGAAAATGAGGAATAGCTGTACTTCGCGTTGCTTCCTAATTTGAACTTGCCTCTGTGTTACACAGCTGAACCCAAAGGAGCCAGAACTCCCACCTCCAAGGGAAGACACAGATAATGGTGTTCCAGGCAGAAGCAGCTCAGTCAGAAAGCAGTAAAGAAGCTGAGTAGGAGCCAGTCAGCATCCCTGGGGAAAGCACAGCACCAGGGCAGGGAGAAAATGAAGAAGTAGGAGAACATTGTTTGTTCTCCTCTTAGACAAGACTTGCTTAGTGATTGTAAATACAATCTTAAAATGCATAGAGGTTTGAAGAAAACCCATCTGTTATGGTTTGCAATGGGATGAAATAGCCATCAGTTCAGCAGAAAGTGTTTTCTGCTTTACAAAGGAGAGTATTGATTCAGGGGAGGACTGTCAATGCTCAGATATATGCTTCTCCACAGACAGATATACAGATACCATTCTGTGGCAAGTATGACTTTTGTTGCCACATCTTTTGGGGAGGCAGAAAAAGGCGACTGGTTCTTCCCTCACAAAGCACTGCAAGCAGCTGTTTTCAATTCACATGTTACTCCTGGCCCTCCTGAATCCATCATCTGATGCCCATCACCAGGTCTTGGCTCTGCCCTCAGCGGGCACCCTCTCTTAACCCTTTCCTGTGTTATAGCTTAATTTCCTTTGTGATACCATTCATGGCACCTATATGCTGACACAAGAAAAAAAAAAGCCCACCCTATCCTTTTCCTCAACAAATTTATAATACTTTCCTTTTTTGAACCTGAACGACAGATCTGAAAGCTTTTGACAGGCAATGACATCAGCTTTTGTGTTTTAGAATAGCCACAGACATGAGTATGAATTTGAACTACTCCAAGTCTAGTGGCTGCCGACTGGCCACAAACATATTTAAACTGGAAATCAGAAGTTTCTATCTGTAACAGCAACCAAATTATGGAGCACACCTCCTGCCAGAGGGGTGAGAGGTAAAGAATTAGTTTTCAGTAAGCTCTGGAATGAGATGGTCCAACACAAAGCCTGTAAGAGGAAGGCACAGGAAGTGATGACATATGGGTGAACACCAAATAATATGTCCAGTAATGAGACTGCATAAGGCTCTAGTGAGACCCTGCTCAGGGGCTCTGATTAGCCTGTCGCTACTGCACTGGGGATCACATCCCTGCAGCCAAAATGAGTGAAGTGGCATTAGAAACTAAAAATCACACAAGTGTGAGTCTTCAGACTTCAAGAGGAGCATTCAGAAGTCATTCCATCTAGGTGCCTAGAGGCAGGATCAGATACCCTAATGCCACCCTAGCAGGTGTTTGCCTTAACTGCCCTTAAGACGTCAGGCGTGACTTCCTCAGACCTGTCACACTGCCCACTGACTGATAGCTGGGAAGGTTTCCCTCCTATTTATAACCTGGTTGAGCCTGTTGTATCTTGGCCTGCTCTCAAGAGGCATAGGGAACAATTAGTCAGCATCTTTCTTACAATCTTATATATTTGAGGTTTAGTATCATCTCTTCTTCTGTTTTCTCCCTGCTGGACTCAGTCCTCTTCGTTCAACACTATGCATTTTGCACCTCTTATGCTGATGTTACCTTCCTCCAGTCTAAGCTTAGACTGAGCCTCTCTAACTTGGGGTATGGAGAAAGCAAAAAATTGCCTCCTTTGTCTTACAGGCAGTATGCCTTAGTGATACAGCCAAGGATGAAATTTGCCCTTTTATGCAATACTTTCACAATGGCAATTCATATTCAGTTCATGGTCCTGTAACTCCTCAGTCCATTCCCTCAGTACTGTGTCTAGCCAGTTGTTCCCCATTTCTTTACTGGTGCATTAATTTTATTATCATTATTATTTCTTGGGCCCCCAACACAAGAGGGACTTGGAACTGCTTGAGCGAGTCCAGAGAACATGAAGATGCTCCAAGGGCTGGAGCACCTCTCCCTGGGGACAGACAGAGAGTTAGGCTTGTTCAGCCTGGAGAAGACAAGGCTGTGGGGAGACCCTATAACAGGCTTCCAATACCTATGAGAAATCTGGAGAGGGACTTTTTACAAGAGCATGAAGTGACAGGGAAAGGGGGAACAGTTTTAAACTGGGAGAGAGAAGATTTAGATTAGACATTAGGAATAAATTCTTCCCTGTGAGGGTGTTGAGGCTCTGGCACAGGTTGCCCAGAGAAGTTGTGGTTTCCCCATCTTTGGCAGTGTTCAAGGCTGGGTTGAACGGGACTTAGAGCAATCTGATCTAGTGGAAGGTGTGCCTGCCCATGGCAGGGGTTGGAACAAGATGATCTTTAAGGTCCCTTCCAACCCAAACTGTTCTGTGATTCTGAAATTCTAATTTTGTCTCCTAGTGTGACTTAATTCTTGCAAGCTTGGCCAGCTTTGTATTTTTCTAAACACACTTTGTTTCGTCATCTAGGTCATTGAGGAAACCAGTTGATAGATCTGGCCAGGCACCCCTGGGACTGATCTCTGTAAGTGTTCCTGGTCTGACGGCAAACTACTGATAACTAGTTTCAGAGCATATAACGATGACAAATATCATACAAGATGGTTTTAAGAAGCCATACTACATTTCAGGATAGCCCCCATTGCTGGACACACTCTCTCCACTATTCCAGTTACTGTGGCAAAGAAAGTTAACCAGTTTGATGTGGTTTGTTCTTGGGTTTACCTCTGTTGGCTCTTTCTTACAACACAATTGTCTTTAAGTGATAATAAATTGATTATTTAAGAATATGTTCTACATTCCTTGAGTAGATGGAGGGGTAATGACTGAGGGCTGCGGAATCAACATTTTCAAGAAGGTTTAGGGTCAACTGCTGATTTTTATCAGAGCAGTGCTGACTTTGAGGGTAATTTAATAGAACAGACATTAAGTCTTAACTAGTAATTAAGTCTTTACTAGTAAATTAAACAACATCAGGAAATGTTCCCAGAATACAAACTCAATCATCAGAATTAAGTGTCAGCAAACCTGACATGGTTTGGCTTGGTCCCACTAGGACTGTCCCAGACAATTTCCATGCATGATTTGGGAGTTATCATTGACAGAGGATCATTCCCCGTAGGCTTTTGCATGAGGTCACTGTGTTTCAGAGGTGAAGAGAGTTTAATAATATGGATGTGAGCCATTTGGTGCTGGTTTGCAGTATGTGTCTAGGAGAATGTTTCTGTGCACTCCTGATTTACTGCCTTCCTACCTCTTTTTGCCTTCTCCATCTGCGAGATTCATTGTGCTTTGTAAGCACAAATGAATCAGTCGTGTGACAAGTCTGAGGGGAAGCTGAGGCCAGACATCTCACTTTATAGATGTGAACGGTGAGGCATTATCTGACCTGATCTCCTCAGCCAGTAAGTAGCTGGGTTAGCACTGAATCCAGGGGCCTGACCTCTTATCCTTGGCTATACCATGGGTCGTGGTCATTCGTACCCCAAGCATGGCCTTCCCCAGCTTGTCAGGCAATGCCTCATGAACCATGAGACAGGAGAGGGCCTTCTAGGGACCTTCTGAGAACAATTTTCCCCACCACAGTGGGTATACAGCTCCAGTGCCAGGTCTCCTCTCCACTCCCAGCCCTGCTGGTCATCGTGATCGTAGAAG